CTTACTCCCCTTTAATCCATTTTCCAGAGTAATTGGCTTGTTAAACTAAATCTGATCATGACACTTGCCAAAAATTCACCAGTGCTTTCTCACTGCTTCTAGGATAGAAGCTGAAATCCCGGGATTCTCCTTCCTGCTTTCCCTCCATTTGATTTCTCGCACCCATCTAGCAGTTTTCAATTTAAACCTAAGCTCTGAAAATCTTTGCCTCATCTCATATACTCAGGTTCCTTAACTTCACTTGGCAGGATTGACTTAAAACAACAGACATATGCTTAACTATATTTTGCATGTTTGTCTACCTATTCCAAGATGACAGGGTCCTATTAACATTATCACTGCTTTATTCTCAGACCAGTACTAAAATCACTAACATAATCAATACATACTGAATCCATAAATGAAGTCAAACCAATACAACTGCAAATTCTGACCCTCTGCAGGACTAAGAGTACAGTTTCTCTTATATGTAAGATGAAGACAGTCTTACGTATCTCACAAAGACACTGTGGAAATGAAAAGCATAATATCCATCACAGTATCTGGCAAAAACCAAGAGTTCATGAAACAGGCATTATCACTTCCAATTTTATGACCTTGTGTAGAAAAGACAAGGGCACTGTGACTTCTGGAAGGCTCCAGGAGCCTGAACATAGCAGAATTTGAGTGCTTATCTGGCCTTTGGCCTGCTCCATCCACCAAGGGAGTCTTCAGATGGCCAAACTTACCTAGGACTGAAGAAGCTCACAGACAATGTCCACTACTTACTGACTGTGAGAAAAAAATCTTTCCAATAGTACACGATTGTATTTTATGAAACATGCACCACATGCAAACCCATACACATAGAAAGTAGTATAGTGATTGCCAGGGACCAGAAGTGATGTAAATTATATGTGCCTGCTAATTGGCAGGGGATTTCTTTTTGTCACAATGAAAATGTTCTAAGAGTAGATAGTGGTGTTTTAAGAACATGGCAAATATACTAAAATCTACTAAATTTCATACTTAAAATGGTGACATTTATATTAATTATATGGCAATTTTTAAAAATGTACTCCAATGTGTAGCTCTGCCTCATGCTAAACTCCATCACAGCTAAATCCATCAATATTTTCCCAAATAAGGAAAGAGAGAGAAAGAGGAGAGAATTACAGAATGTGAATACTTAATGGGGTCAAGTTTAGACAAACTCTAAGTACTTCCCTTGTCAAAACAGTACACATTTCTATTGGTCTGAACCACAATGAAGCACTATGGCCAATACTGTCAGTGGTAAATTCAATGCTGATAACTCCCACTGTCTTTTAGTTTTTTTAAGATTTATTTATTTTTCTTGGAAAGTCAGATATACAGAGAGGAGGAAAGACAAAGAGCAAGATCTTCTATCCATTGACTCACTCCCCAAGTGGCCACAACTGCCAGTGTTGAGCCAATCCAAAGCCAGGAGCCTGGAGCCTCCTCCAGGTCTCCCATGCAGGTACAGGGTCCCAAGCCTTTGGGCCATCCTCGACTGCTTTCCCAGGCTGCAAGCAGAGAGGCGGATAGGAAGCAGAGCCGCCAATATTAGAACCAGGGCCTATATGGGACCCCAGTGCCACAAGGCTACTACGCTGGACCCCTCCCATTATCTTTTAAAGAAAACACAGCTCTGAGGGGAAGTGTTCAGTTTAGCAGTTAGGCTAAAATGCCCATGTCTTAAATTGTAATGTCTGAGTTCAATTCCCAGCTCTGACTCTCAATTTCAGCTACCTGCCAAGACAGCTCCTGGGAGGCAGCAGGTAACAGCTCAAGTACTTGGGTAACTGCCCAAGTGACATAAGTCCCACGTACCTGTGTTGGAGATCTGGATTGACACATTGGCTCTTGGCTTTAGCTGGGCCCAGTCCTGGCCATCGCAGTTGATGAGGCCTGAACCAGTAGATAAGAACTCCATCTGTCTGCCTGCCTCTCAAATCAATTAAAAAAAAATATACAGTTTTCTTCTGGGTGGCAATGGATCAACCCCAGGCAAGTCATGATTAGTCTAGTCCAATGTTTCCAAATTTTCTGATAATAAAATAACTTAGATTCCTTGTTTCAAAATGAAACAGAAATAAAATAAAAATATATACCCAAGGTCCCCACTGCAAACTCAGCAAATCACAATGTACAGAAATGAATCTTGGTAATATTAAGCTTTAAGCTAATTTTAATCATCATCAGATAAGCTTAAGGAGTATTGGTCTTCGAACACCTGGCTTCCCAAGTGCTGCTCACAACTCAGCGAACATGTGATTAGTTCTGGTCTATAGGACTTAAAGTAAGGTTTATTTGGGGGATTTCTGGGAAAGTTTTACTTAGTAATACAAGAAAGATATCTACCCTTCTCTCTTTAGTCCTTCTTCCTGCCTCAACTGGAGCTTTGAGAGTTGAAACTGACAGCAACCCAAGTGAAGGGTCAATGGGTTTTCAAGGACATAAACTTTGCAACTGTGGAACAAAGTCATCAACTGCTTACCTCTAATCTCTTGTTAGATAAGAAAAATAAGTCCTGATTTGTCCCTTGTACCAAATGAATTCCTAAACAAATGACATGCCCTAGCCAATGCTCCATTTCTGACAGTCCTGCTTCCCCTTTTGGGTGAGGCATTCTGTCCTCACCAGAAATGTTAAAGGAATGACTGGACCAATGCTATTTAAAACATTCCTAGATGTCAACCACTTGTCTTTTAAGAAGAATATGTCCACTCTCTTTAATTTATCATTTAACTCTCAAAGAATTTCTATAATTTCAAGTTCTTAGTTTACATCTCACAGACATTCCTTGACACCAATATTCTACCAGATGGGTATTATTTTCCCAAATGGAGTACTGTCTGCAAAATTCTTACCATGGGTGGTCAAGTTTTCTTGAAGGGAGCAAGGAAGTAAACCTTATGAACCATCTGATCTCTGCTACAACTACTCAAACGTCATTGTAGGTCCTAAACTACCAGAGTCAAAACAGAAATGAAAGGGTACAGCTGTGTTCTGATAAAATTTTATTTACAAAAATAGGGAGTGCACAGATTAGGTCCATGGGTTGTAATTTGCTAACACTTCCACCATAAAACTGTCACCACTACGAAAAACTTGAGAAAATAAATCTACTTGTAAAAATCAAGCAAGTTATCATCATATCTGATTTCTTGCTAAGTCCCTGTCACTTTGAAAAACAACAGATCTGAAAAAGGGTACAGTGACACGCAGAGAATTCACTTTGGTGAAGACACATTGCAGTTATATGTCCAGAGAGAACAAAGATGTTACTGTATTCTTTGAGTACCTACTGTCTACAAGAGCACGTAGAAGACATTTTCATACAAATCTTAACACAGCTCAAGATTTCTCTTTATGACCCTGACTCATATCTTAAAAATCAGACTCAGATAAACTTGGATAAAGGAGTTGGCTCTGATGTGCAAATATCCTATAACTTGACATGAATTGAGAAATTTTACCATTACAGTCTATAGTGTAGAAAAGAGAAGGGCAAAATTGTACAGAATGACTTCAAAGAGTACTCTTTTTTTTTTAGAAATTAGGATCTATAAAACTTACCAGAATATCTGGTTTTAACTTAGCAAATCACTAACACTGGGGAAGATGTTATTTTCCACTTTAAATTTGAAGCCTTTTCATTTATATGCCCAATGCCTGACCCAGCCCTGATACTTGTGGCCATTTGGAAATTAAACCAGCAGATAGAAGAGCTTCCTCTCTCTACCTGCCTGTCTCTCTGTAACTCTGCCATTCAAATAAATAAAAATAAATATTTTTAAAAAATCTTAATAGACCTACTGATGTTGAAGAAGACTGGAAAGTGGCCTTGATGTCATCATTTACCACAAAGGTTACCATCTCAGCTAGCTTTGCACTGTGGTTATGACTGTCACTGAGAGAGCTGAAATCCAAGAGACTGGTCTCTGGATGTTATATTTTCACACTTCAATACATTTTATTTTCTACGAATGGCCATAGTGCTATTTCTGGTCTTAATATGTTCTTCCCAAACTCTGCCATTCCGCAGCAGAAAGTAAAGTTTACTTCACTGCCCCTTTCTTGAACCTCAGCAGGAGTGTGTGACTACTTCAGAAAATGTTCTATGACTGCCCAGACTGGGTCTCAAAAGCTGATTGATCACTTTCCACGTGACTCTCTCTCCTCTTAGGACACCGTCTTTGACAGTAGTTACTAGACTATAAGGAAGCCCCAAATTGTTGGGAAGACAATATTTATCAAGTACCCTTGCTTTGATGCCCTTGCCATCTTATCTCTATGCCTCTATGGCAACTGATGCTTTGGTAACCAACAGGCCCATCCCTTTGACTTGTTGCCCCAGACCCTGTTATGTAACAGCAAGTTATGTGCCACATTTGTCTGTGAATTCATATCAGAAGTTGGTGGTCGGGGAGCAGTAAGGGGAAATGGCAGGATGGGGAAGGGTAGCCGTTAGGCAGAGATACTTCCTTGTAATCTGGTTAGCCACCACTGCGCAAGCAGTGTGTTCCTGTGTACATTTTTGCCCCGCCACTGAGAATAAAGAAATATAAACTGGCACAGGTTCTAGGTCCCTACGTTATTGTTTGGTCTGTCCAAACCCTGACCTAGTCTCCCAGAAATCAAGCTCCTGAATCACACTTGCCCACAAAGAGAGACCAAATTGAGAAGATCTAAGAACCTCCAATTACAGCTAGCAGCAGGACACGGGAACAAGAAGACATGCAAGCGAATGAGCCTTCAATGGATCCCAGCACCCCCATTTTGGAGCCACCCCAGCTGATACACATGAGCGCAGCCCCAAATGCAGATTCATAAGCAAAATAAATGCTGTTATTACTTTAACTCACTGAAGTTTGAGCTTGATATCTAGAACACAAACCCAGGATTGAATCCAAGCATGAATGAGACAAAATTGCTGCATGCTTCCCTTTCCATCTGGATCCCCAAATGTGAGCAGAATTTAAAAATGTACCTACATCTTGCAATAGTGACTTGCTGCTGCAAGACACTTATGTACAGCTGCAGAGTCAGCTGGGGAGCTGAGCCCAGGAAAGCCTGGATCACCGACGCCCGGCTGAACGCAGAACGATGCGCGAAGAGCTTGCCTTCTGCTTGGCCCACCTCCCTCTCAATCTCCTCTGAGAGGCCATCTTTGGGGATCTGCCGCTTTCTGGTGATGCTGACATAAGGCTCTTCATTGTTGTTGGACTGACAGTAGATGCAGAAGACTTCAAAACACCTGGAAATACATCAGCAAGTCGTACAATTAGAGACAGGTGGGAATCCGGTTTTGCTCAGTCAGCTTGCTTCCATTTAAACTGACTCCCAAAACCTTGACTTGGTTGACTGAAGTCTACTCCCCTGAATCACCCATTCTAAAGATCAATTCTGAGAATACAGTCTCCTTGAGAACCGCTAGCAGGCAATGTGAACTGAGTGGGAATCAAATTGAGAGATGACCCTGAAAGCTATAGAGGCAAAGAAACTTCCTAGAGAAAGAAGTGGTTCAGCCTCCAAAATCACAGAAAAATATCCAGTTTCCCTTTCTGACACTGAATAGCTGTGCAGAGCCCTAGGAAAGTCACCTACCTTACCCTTGCTGGGTTCCTCATTGATCCAGCAGAGATAACACCTACTTTAACACATTACTGTAAAAGATGGTGATAAGTTACTATCTACACCACACCCAAAAGTTGCTCTAAACCAACCTCATTAAAGCATAAGCTGTGATGAGGAAATCCCACCCCCATCCCAGCACAGGGCAGCCCAACACCAAGTATTTCACAAGGAGACAGTGACATATTACCTATTTCACTGTTTTCATGAGCCTCAACAGGGCAGGGCTAATTACAGCTGGGGGGGGGGACTGTTACATACCTATAATTTATGGAATTCCAAGTCTGTGCTAGGGAAAGAAACTGAACCAGTGACATCTCCAGACTGAGAGAATACCAGACTTGTAAAGTTGGAACCTCCTGTCTGTGGGTAAAAATCTGAATGCTGAAGAGAGAAAGCATGTCCACACACTGATGGATGGACAGACTGTGAAACAAAATATTAACATAGAATCTGGGTGGAAAAGATTTAGCTATTTGTTGTAGAATTCTTTCTTTTTTTTTTTTTTTTCATGCTAGGGCAAACTGGAATTTTCCTAGGAGTAAGAAAAGTACTCATGACACTAGGTTTAAAAACTGTTAAAGCAATTTCTGTCCCAACTCCCAAACATGTACTTTAATAACAACTTTATAATACTGCCAGAAGATTTTATGGCCTCATCAGTTTTATTGAATGTTGTTAACTTTATACTCTTACCCCAAGGCAACTATGGGAAGGAGAATAAATTCATAACTTGAAATAGTAAACCTCACAGGAACATTTCTGGAGAGTACAAAGCAGACATATTTTGTGGTTACTTTTTTCAATTGCTCCCAGGAGAAAGAAGACCTGTAGCTCTGTGAGTGTGTTTGCACATGCTCATGTATCTGTGTGTGCATGTGTGTGCTGGAAATGGGGGTGGGAAGGGGAGGGAGAAGGAGAGAGGAGGGGAAGGGAGGAGACAGCTTTGTCTACTATTTTTTCCCTGTGAGGTCAAAGATATTTTAAGATATTAAATGGAAACATGCAAAACAACTTGGACCAGTTTGTTCAGTTCCACATAGTATAAGTGAAGTTCATGTCACAAGGTCAAGCCCAGCTGATCCAATTGAATTTTTCTCCACAGGACAACACGAGGCCTAACTTGGGACAGTGGGGGAACTGTCTGGCCCACGGGCCATAAAAGGGCTACAAAATCATTTGGTCAGTTCTGCAAAGTCAAACAGGCAGGACTCAAAATTGAATAAATCTACACCAGACTAATTCTTAAGTTGATAATTTTGTTCCAACTGCAAATGATATAAATATCCATATGACCCTCAGCAGAAAAAAGTTCCCCATCCCTGCTATAGAACCAACAATCACAATAGGGATTAAAATAAACAGATTATCATCTTTACTCTCAAATATGTGATGACTGTAGATACATTTTACTTAGTGCTGTAGGGAATGCAAAGACAGCTAAATAGTTTAACCCACTCAGAAGAGTTCAAATAGAGCACGTGCACAATAGTAAATAATGAAAAGGACTAACATGTAATAGAGCACTTCTAGTTTAAAAATATTTTCTCATGTTATCTCACCTGGAAGGAAGTCCTTCTGCACAAATTTATAAAAGCAAAATTCTGTGAATACACTAAAGGGCTCCAAGATAGAATAACTATACAAATCATAATGTATGCATCCAACAAAGTATTAGGCAGCCCTTTAAATGAGTGGTTTAAATATATATATATATATATATATAAATATATATAAGCACATATATATAAGCATATATATAGCATATATATTAGCATAACATATTTTAACATTCTTAGTAAGTGAAAGAAGAATATTAGACAATATAGATAGAAAGCTCAATTTTTTTGGTTAAGAAAAGAATCATATATATTTATAAACACCTACACACTACACACTTACCAAGAGAGCTCATACTGACTCGACACAACCAACTGTGAAGTAGGAATTTTGTGAGGCACTTATTGATGGGAGATATATATCACAAATATCAGCAAACATTGAAAATCAGGCCTTCTCTTTCACAAGATGTAGTGTTTAAGCACAGCAAATATTAATAAGGATATACACAAAAAACCTGAAGACATTTTTTCTTAGGCAGTCCAATTAGAGATTCAATTTCCTTTATCAAGCATATCAGGTCTTATATCATTTCAACAAATGTTTCACTTGCACAAAAAAATCAAGCTGGGTCCAGTGCCATGGCTCAGTGGCTAAATCCTTGCCCCACCAGTGCTGGAATCCCATATAGGCACCAGTTCAAGTCTTAATTGTTTCACTTCCCATCTAGCTCCCCACTTGTGGCCTGGGAAAGCAATAGAGGACGGCCCAAAGCCTTGGGACCCTGCACCCATGTGGGAGACCCTGAAGAGCTCCTGGTTCCTGGCTTCGGATCAGCTCAGCTCATGCCATTGCAGTCACTTGGGGAGTGAACCATCGAACGAAAGATCTTCCTCTCTCTCTCTCTTCCTCTCTGTATATCTGACTTTGCAATAAAAATAAATAAATCTTTAAAAAAATAAAAAAAAAACACAAAAAATATATTGAAAGGGCCCAAGCCGCTAATGGCTAAGACAATTGGTAAGAGGGACCAGCATTTTGGCACAGTGAGTAAAAATGGCCAAGTACAATGCCAACATCCCACATAATGGCCAGTTCAAACTTTGGCTGTTGCACTGCCGATCCAATTCCTTCTAATGAACCTGGGGATGCAGCAAAAAATGGACTAAGCACCAGAGGCTCTATGCCCATGTGGAGACCAGGATGGAGTTCTAGTTTCCTGGCTTCAGACCTGGCCAGCTCTGGTCGTTGGATGAAGGTTTTTCTCTCTCTCTCTGTCTCTCTAACTCTTTCAAATCATTAAAATATTTTTTGAAAAAAAAAAAAGGTAATAGTAATTTCCTAGCTGAAACCACAGGTGTTGGTGCCAACACAAATATAGTGATACCACAGACTCCAATAAGAACTGTTTTTCCAAAGAAATAACTGCTGATGATTTCCTCTAAGCCATGTTATCTTTCTCCGACACTCACGCTCTGCTAGGCTACACAGGAACCAAACTCTCCAAACAGAAAATGCGGTGAGACCTTTGAGGAGCCACTTGCTTAATCTTGCTGCACCTCAATTCCTGGAGTGTAAAAATAAGATAATGATAGCTCACAGGATTTCACAGTGGACGCAACTAAATATTATATGTTAAAAACACTTTGTAAATAAAATAATGCTCAAAATGTAGACTGTTATACTTTTACATCTTTTAGAAAATTTACTAAAAAGAGAAATAGTATGCAAATCATTTTGCATGGTTCTATAAAGATTTCTGAAACTTCTTTTCATGTATTGTATAAATTCAAAATTTCATATACTATTTTTTCCTAGTAATATCAGCAATAAAAATGAGAACTCCATGAATTTGTAATTTATTTATATTTACTCTTCACAATGAAGTTCTGAAAATTAATATACTATTTTTTCAAAAAGGATAAACATAATGCTTTTGGGAGGAGTTAAGTTATTTCCCCCATCACACCTGTTTTTATTCTCAATAAGATTTTCTTTCAAATTGAGAAAACTGAGTAAAAGGCATTAGACAAAATATTCTTTAAACCCAGCCTTAATGTGTTAGCAACCATTTAAAACGTAAATAGTTTTAAATATGACTGATATAAATGAAACACGGTGCTAACCTAATGCGTCCCTAAAGGAAAGTACCGGGCCCTATCAGCGTTATTTAGCCAGTGATAAGTCATGTAATGTACTGCGGTCTAACTGGGCTATCACCCTGCATGAAAAACAGCATAGGCCTAAAAAGAACCTGAGTTTGGCTAGTGTCCACTTGAAGTTAAATCAACTGCCCATAAACACTCGAGAAACATTACTAAAACCCATCGGTAGAAAGGGAGGAGAGAAACACCACATCTCCATTTTAGTTAGGGAAGATAGTTATAGTATTTATATAAATTATGCTGATATTTTAGAGTTAAAATAGAATCAAACATCCATCAGGACGAAATTTCAGGATTGTATTAAGTCATAACAATACACAAGATCATTTTTCTTTTTGTCTGGAAGCTAAGAGCCTTGGAGCCGCATTCTGTATATCTCAGCTCCTAGACCGTGGGTCCAACAGCCCCTTGAAATGAATCAGCTGCTCCAGAATGAGACTCCTTGCTGATGGAAACGGGCTGCTGGTTGGTTTGGTTTTTATCACTTATTTTGTCCTCTGCACCAGAAGACAATGGCCCATTCAGAAATTTCTGGAATAGGGTTTTTTAAATATAGTATTCAAACTTGCTATATAGCTCAGAAGTTATAAGTTCAAACCAGCAAATACTTATATCAGGTTAATAAAGCTAAAGACTGAAAAATACAGAACAAGGTATCATACAGGAGAAAATTATATATTGTTCTATACTTTTCAAGATAGTGTTATAGTCACTCAACACCTCTCTCCAGAAATTACCACTGTTAACATCTCGGTATTTTTAATTTCTTCGTCTTCAAGTTTATGCTTGCCATACTTTCTTAAAGACATAGTCGTTAGTTTTGCCTTGCTTTGCTCTGGTCTAGAAATATTTTAAATGGTGGAAATGACAGGGTACTACCAGTTTACATGGACAGTTATTTACATTCTGTTTAATTTTTCTTTTAATTTGCAAAATAGAGCCAGGCACAGTAGCCTAGCGGCTAAAGTTCTCACTTTGCATGTGCCAGGATTCCAGATGCATTCTGGTTCATGTGCCAGCGGCTTCACTTTCCATTCAGCTTCGTGATTGTGGCCTTGGAGGGCAATAGAGGATGCCCCAAACTCTTAGGACCCTGCACCCATGTGGGAGACCCGGAAGAAGTTCCTGGCTCCTGGTTTCAGATTGACTCAGCTCTGACCATTGTGGCCACTTGGAGAGTGAACCAGCGGATGGAAGATCTTTCTCTGTCTCTCCTTCTTTATGTAAATCTGACTTTTCTATAAAAATAAATAAAATTTTAAAAAATATCTGCAAGATAACCAGACTTTTTCTTAAGATGGAACTACTGACAAAATATACTGCATACTCCCTTGCTTTCTTTCACAAAGTATAGAGAGCACACTTAACAAACCCACTCCAAAGGAAATAAAAATAACAAGTTAAAATAAGTAAATAAATAAACCTATTCCGTCTGGGGCCTCATCTTTCACATCTGTAAAATGGGGACAGTTATACATAACTCCTGATGAGGATCGAATGAACGGAGGGATATGGATACACACCAAACCACCCAGCACAAGAAGCTAGACTGTCAGTTCTCCTTCCCCTGCTACTGCACCAAGACCTAAGCTTTCTCTTCACACGTAGAGTTAGAAAACAATGAGGCCTTTTGCCCAAAGTCAGTTCACATTTCTTTTGCTGAGCAAGAACAAAATTGGGACCACAGAGCTAACTAGGCTAGAGAGGACTAACTTTCCAAACTAGTTTTCACTCACAGGACTTTTAAAAATCGCCCCCCCTTCCTCCCTTCTTGCCACCCCCCCCCGCCCCCGCTTTCCTGGCTATCAGGATGTGATAAGCAACTTGTCGCTCTGCCAGTTCACCTGTTTGCTTTTGCAGGATTCTGCACTTATGCAGACCTGGGAACGTGTTCATCTGGTTTGCAGTGACTGGGTGTCAACTCTAAGAATGTAGTCTCAGTACTGGCTGTGCTGCTTGTCTTTATTGAGATACACACATTTTACAGCAGAGCTTTGGAAGGTCTGTTGTGTTGCTGGTGTGTGTGTGTGTGTGTGTGTGTGTGTGTGTGTGTGTGTGTGTGTGTGTGTGTGTGTGTGTGTGTCTCAGAGACAGATAGACAGACCAGAAGAAAAGTTTTCTCCTAGGAAAGTTTCTTGGCTGGCTCTCTGAATTTCATGGTAGCTGAGGCGCGTCCATTCCCTTCGAATTCCTGTCACCTACATTTAGAGTTCAATGTTATAAAATTAATTTCAAATCCAAAAAGACAACGCTTTGTTTTTTGTTAAGATAAAAGGCGCGAAAACAACATGTTACTACCAAATATTTCCACCTGCTTTGTCCATGAGAAAAATTATTATTAATTTTTGTTCATGAGAAAAATGATTCTCTGGAAAAAGTCGCTGTTCTTGAAGCACAGCACGGGTTTGCTTTCACAGCGCACTGGACTACTTTCAGCGTCCACTTTTCCAAGTCAGGGCCGGGAGGCATGTCTCTGACCCCATATATGCCCCTACCGCATAATATTCATCGGAACTCTGAGGGGAAAAGCCACGCTGTGTGCATTTGCAGACTTGAACATGAGGAAAAACTAAAGGGCTACAAAGCGCTTAGGCCAATGCCTGGCACACAGTAAGCGCCATATGTTCAAGAACTTAAGTTACCTGAAAGACACGAAACTGTTATCTTTCGATCAAATTCGGGTGAATGCTGGCAATTTCATATGATACCTCACCAAAAAAAGAAAAAAAACAACGCCTTAGTAATTCTCACTCTAGCGCCAGGACTGTGTCACCTGCCTGTGACAGGAATGGTGGGGCTGTGGGGGGCAGGGCGGGTCGGCTTCGGACCCAGCTCCAGGTCCCTATCCCAAGGCCGTCCCGCCCCCCTCGGGCAGGCGGAGGGAGCCCCCGGGGGTTTGGGGGGGCTTCTGCAGCCCCGGGGTTGGCTCTGGACTGGCACACGCACCTGAACAGGGGGCCGAGTTGCAGCAAGTGCAGCAGCAGCACGAGCGGGCGATCGCGGCTGAGGTCGCGGTGCACGAAGAGGAGCGTGAGCTGCACGAGCGCGCAGGGCAGCAGCGAGAAAAGCAGCGTCAGCGCCTGCCAAATGCGGTCGCCGGCCGTGCGGTAGGTGCTGCTCAGGTACAGCGCTGCCGTGATCTCGGCCACGAACAGGAACACGGACGGCAACACGGAGGCCGGGAATTTCATCTCGGCGCGGCAGGGGGAGAGCACCGGCAGCGAACGCGATGGCGGCGACACTGGCGGCGACAGCGGCGGCGGCGGCGGGGGCGACGGCTGTCTGAGGGGCTCCCGGCATGCCCCGCCCCGACGTGCTCTGCGCACTGCGCAGCCCGCCGACTGCACGCGGGCCAGGCCCACGGGGCCCGACGCTGAAGCTGGGCCTGGGGGCGGCGGAGGCGGCTAAGGGTGGGGCAGGCAGCGCCGTCCCGCCGGACACGCCCACACGCACAGTGCGCCGCCCGCGCGCCCGCGACTCGCGGCGTCGCCTGAGAGACAGTCCTCTGGCGGGCCCCGAACCCGCGCCTCGACGCAGCTCGCATGGCTCTGCGTGAGGCTCAATAAGGGTAAGGCAGGCCCTGCTGGCCCCTCGCGCTGCTCTGGGTCCTAGAGCCCCTTGGTTCTTGCTCTCCTCGAAAACTATTCTCCAGCCTTTGAAAAGCCGCAGCCAACAGATCCCAGAATTAGGGTTTGATTGACTTTCCAGCCCAGTGTCTGTGGCCACGCCCGATTGTTCAAAAGATCAGTTTCCTGTCTTTTTTTTTATAGCCAGGCTGCACAGATGTGTTTCAAAGAGCAAATGACAATACTGTTAGAGTCACCACAAAGATAGGAAGGATTTAGCTTCAGTGTGCCTTCTGAACATGCCCCTTCCTAGTACAATGGTCTGAGCCATTGCTTCCTGTGCTGGGAGCATCACATAGTATCTGGGATGTGTCCATTTCTCTGCAGCTGTAGCTAACTCAGGACAAAGACCAGAGCCTAATAAGGAAGCAGTTTTCTAGGCCAAGGCATACCTCTGCTTACTAGTCTGCCAACTCCCACATGAACACAATTCCTTTTCGTCCAGTAAAAGTTTGGCACATGGACATTAGGATGGACAGTACAATAGACCTTGATTAAGCTACTAATCTGTTTTTTGAATTAATGCTTATTTTTAATTTATATTAAATGAATAATTTCACATTTTTTCACATTTCACATTTATTATTATTTTATGTTACAGTTCCATAGGCTCCTGGTATTTCCCTTATCCCAGCCCCAATTCGCCCCCCCCTCACCTAGTTCCTCTATATAATTACTAAACTATAGTTCTTCATACACAGTCATATGTCCATCATTGCAGGCATGGACAATGGCAGAGAGTCCAGCATACTATTGTCAAGATACAGTAAACAGTTCCATTGTAAGTCTATCTTTGTCTGGAAACAGAAATGCATACCACACTGCATCCTCACATCTGGATGTTAGTCTCCATTTCACAGCTACTGTACATCCCCTCAAACAAAAAGTCATGATACAAAATCAACAATAGAAAGAAAAATAGAAATTTACAATGCCATGAAGTTAAATAACATATTACTAGATACGACAGTCTCCATTACACATCTCCTATACATCCCTTTAAATGAGAAGCCACAAAACAAAATCAACATCAGGGAGAAAAAAGAAATTAACAACACTATGAAGTTAAATAACATGCTACTAAATGACTAAGACAAAAGAAATTAACACCCCCAACAAGTTAAATAACATGCTATTAAATGACTAACGTGTAGCAGAAGAAATGAAAATCAAGAACCTTCTTCAAAAAACTATGCTACTGTATGATCTATGAGTCATTGAAGTATTTAATCCGAAGAAAGTGTCTTGAAGAGATGAAAGTAACAGAAAACTTCAAAACCCATGCGATATAGTGTCCACTGATTTTTGTTGGTGAAGTGTGTCTCTTCTAGACAACAAATAGATGGGTGCTGTTTTTAAATTCAGTCTACTAATCTATGACGTTTGATTGAGCTTAAGCCATTTACATTCAGGGTAAGATCCTTAAATGTGCACGTGAAAAACATCAATTGACATATAAAGGAATGCCAATTAAACTCACAGGGGACCTCTCACAGGAAACTCTACAGGCTAGAAGAGAGTGGAGTGACATATTCAAGATTCTAAAAGAAAAAAAAAAGTCGGCCTAGGATAACATATTCAGCAAAGCTTTCTTTTGTCTTTGAAAATGAAATAAAATTCTTCCACAGTAAAGAAAAGTTAAAAGAATTTACCTCTTCCAAACCTGCCCTACAAATGATACTTCAAGATGTTCTCTTGACAGAGAAGAGAACTAGCACCTACCAAAACCAAAGGCAAGTGACACTTTCCTGTGTAGGAAAATAATACAAAACACAAACAGAATGTGAAGATTCGGAGGACACCAAGACAGGACAGAGAGAGAGAACGTGGGGGCCTGGCTTGCTTAGTTGTTGCAGGACTTGGGAAAATCTATTTATAAGGGTTGAGGGCAGGAGGACAGGATGGAGCCAACAGCTTAGAGCTACTAGGCCCCTGCTCCAAAAGGATTAGTAATGTCTATTTATAGAGTCCAACAGGCCGCCATGTACTGGATCAAGATACACACACTGTCAAAAGAAGGAATCAGCAACAACACACCACAGAAAATTTGTGTAATATTTTATTTGACACCATACCATAGCTTTAAAAGGAAAATTAATCGGTAGCTTAAAATTGATCATCGACACACACTCAATATTTAGCATTGAATTTTATTTTAAGGCAAAAGATTACCACAGGTTTTACATTAGGTGGGCCTGTAAATAACTGTGTTGTGGGGTGGGGTAACAAGCCAATAAATTACATAGCTTCAAACACTATAACGCCCAGTCAATGGTGGATGATTTTCTACAGTACAAAGCTAATACAGAAAACATATAGGAAAGATCACAGTGTTTAGACCATTGTGACAGCAGTTTTAAAAACACTAAGGTGTGCCTATAAGCTTCTCAATCAACCTTGCTTCTAAAGAATATTTCATTACATTAGTAACTTTTAAGCAAATCTCCCACAGGACGGTGGACCAATATCAACTGATTGTATTAATAATCCCCCTCCAGGAACAATGTAAGAAAAGCTGAAATCTGATGAGCATTTGCAAGTTCAGGTCTGCACACCAGCTAACCAGCACCAGTGATCAAGTCTTTCTGTATTATCACTTGTCATTTTTGTCCTTCAGAATAATGTATACAATAGAGCTTGTGATTACTCGTTTCCTGTCAACCACCAAAATGGATGTTCGTCTCAGAACAACTTACTGCCAGGCATTGAAATATATTTTCTCACTAGGATCCAAATAACCCATTATTTAAAAAAATATTATATACAATAATAGACCTATAGAAAGTGATTGTTTTGGCATAATAATTTGTCACATACCAGAATACTTGTAATTTGGTTTTATTATAAAATATACTAGTATGACATTTTGTGATATAATAAAATATCCAGAAGAATGCATTTCTCTAAATTTAGACCTAATTGTTATATAGATAAGCATCTGAAAGAGTCTCAAACTACCTCTAATGAAATATAATAATTAATGAGAGGCCCAAGAATCTGTTTTGGTGAAAGGGCATTTTAAAAGAAAAGCCTCTCATTTTGTGTGCAAGTCTTTCAAAACTTTAATTATATGCAATAAATAGAATTAAGGAAAATAAAATTAATAGTATTTGAAAGTAGTAATAACTATATTATTTATTTCTATAATTTTATGTTTTAAATCTGTATTTATGCTAAGGCAAATAGATTGTAAAGAGTATAATTCTATTAACAACCCTAATTCATCAAGCAATTCTTCAAAATTCCATAGTATCTTAAAACAATATTGTTTCCTAGATACAATAAGAAATAAGAAGATATACTCTATTGACAGATTATTCATTTGCATTGTCCTAAAATAATTAAGAAATTGCACTAATTTTCTCTTTTTAAAATGTTTCATTAGGAAGGTGAGCCTGTTTTCTCCAATGATCTAATTACTCTATAAGTTATGTTATTTGTGCAACACAAAGCCTTTTTTTGGTGAAATAAGATTTATTCACTTGCGAAATGCACAGTCTTAAATTAACATTGGTGTTTAATTATTTCTCTGTATTGTATGGCTTTGCAAAGTGTTCTCTCCAATAACTGGATCCCATATAATCTGCTTTTAAAATTACTTTTCATTTAGTGCCATTAAATCTAAGAGATTAAATTTAGATCTTCCAAGAAGAGCTCCCAAAGATGTTCAAAGTTGGAAGAGCTGTCACCAATTTAGAGAATGAACTGCCCTTCCTGGCATCCGATTCTAAAGTCAACCTTACGCACTTACGACTATTCCACCCATAATCCTGGAGAGTATGTAAAACTCATGTTACACTTTGCATGTATAAGAGTAAAGGCATCCTATGGCTGCAGACTTAAAAAGACATCTCTAATACTGAAATACTAAAGTTGAAAGCCAAAGACAAATAATTTGAGTCAGACATCTTATTTGAATGCATCAACATTTAAGAGTTACTGTAGTCAACTTGAACCAAATTCAGCAGCAGAGTTTAGTTTATTGGTAACTGCCACTTATGCACAGATCTAAACACAGAACCTATGGGTACAGGAGCAGAGATCCTGCCAAACCCAAGTGGCAAAATACCATTTGCTAAAAATAGACAGTAATTGAATATAATCTGTACCTTTAAACTGATGGCTATGTCATAGCTACTGCATAGACATTACAAGAACAGCACACATTAAAGCATGAAAATTAACACCACTTTCAAGCTCCTAAAAACGAAGCATTAGCAGGAACTGTATTAACTTTAAAAACTGTGTGTTCTATGTTTATACATATTCATGTCTAGTGCTACTTTCCCTGTCTTTTTAGACTGTTCAGCATTTCTCAAAGAATGAAGGGAAAGTGTGCATTTGGGAGCAAGACCTTACAGTCTTTTGTTGGTTTTAATTCCATATGTGGTAGTTCTAGAACAAAAAAGACATGTTGGCCCCAGGTAACTCTAAATACAAATATAAGTATGCAAGGCTCCAAACAGTGGAGAGGAAGAGAAAACACAAGTTTTTCTCATTACGTATGGCAATTTTTAGAATTCTTATAGATACAGAATTCAACAATTTCAAATAGGTTTCTTTACATCAGAGAGTTTTCTGAGACTTTATTATGTGATCTCCACAATTGGGCAAAAGAACTTTCCTAACATTTACTCACAAAGTTCATTTTTCCACATGGCAGCTGTTAGTACTGCTAAGCTACACTTAGGAAAATA